CCATGGCCCCTCTTAATTGTCTGGATTAATTATGCATATAGTTATATGTATGTATGTATGTATATATTTACGTGCATATATATGTTCCAACAAATCTGTCAAGATGATTTGAATTGGGTTTATGTATACTAGGCAGTGGAGAAGAGAGTCGTAGATTATCTGGGTTTTTTTTTTATAATATGTTGAGAAAATTCAATTATTATGAAATATTTATTTAAGAAATATATATATATATATATATATAATAAATTTTTTGAATCTTAATCAAATTTAACATACTAATAAATTGAGTATTATACGTCTGTCTTCGGCTGCTTATTTTGGACCATATAATATTGTTTTCTTTTTCTAAGAGAGGAAGCTTTGTGATGTTTCATTACCCCCATATGAGATCGTGTGGGTTTGTGGCTTTCATTGAAAAGAAAGGTCTTACTTAATACATATATACATATATATATATATATATATTATATATACACAGATACATATAGATACCCTTCTTCTTTTTTTTGACTACTTTACACATAAATTCCTTTTGTGGTTTTAAGCTGAGGAATTCTCAACTGCTTTGACCCACTCGTGTTTGGTATAATTGTCCAGTCGTATATACTCTTACAACCTTTCTCCTGAAATTCCTTCCCCACTACCCATTTAACCACGTGCTACCTCTCCTTTATGTTTTACCCATTTATTTATTTATTTTTTTCTAATTCTAAAAGTGTTTTTTTTTTTATAAATAAATTACTTGATATACCTACCATTTGGAAATAAATTCTTAAGTTTTTTTTTTTTTTTTTTTGTTATATTTGCATTGGTACATAACAACTATATATAATGGAGTGATACGGATAAAAGTAAAGATAACTACAAGTTAAGTTTAAATTCTTACAACATAGTCTTAATATCTTAATGTAATATACAGTATATCACTTAAAAAATATAACAATAACCAAGATATTCTCCTATTTAGTGTCCGTCAAAGTAAAATTTAAAACTTGTCATCATGTCAAGTAGAAAAGAGAACTCTTCACGTATAAGATCTTTGTTAAAAAGATTGATTGATTATTTTTTTTATTAACAATGAGATAATATAGTAGAATTTCATATATAATATTTTTCATACAACTTGATAATTTATCTTAAAATACAAAATTGACAATAACGTGATAAGTTATTGTATTGTTACAGTACGAAGAGATGTTATATGATAGATTGATACGAGATTATTTTAATATCAACTATAACTAAATAATTTTTATTTTCCTACGAGATTGTACTATTTCCATCGAGTATGACATAACCAATGATAAAGAATCTTATGTGAGGACAACTTGCATAGTTTGAGACATTAAAAGTTTGAAACATAAAAGGAGCTAGAAGATGACAACAGAACACTCCTCTTTAAGCCAACTACCAAAAGAACTTTATAACTTTACTACAACTATTGTGCATATCGATAAGTTTTATACCGGTGCAATAAAAAAAATACTAGATCATCTACTACTACTACACCAATCAAGTTATGCATAATTTAAAATATAAATAATATATTTATATAATTATTAATTATGTATATGTTATTTTTTTAACTTTTATTTGCGCGTTTATAATACTTACTCTTTTTATTTACAATAAGACACAAATAATTATAAAAATTGAGGTATGAGAATATTAAATTCCCATTAATTAAATAAAATAATTACTTTTAGTTTTACTCTTTTTTCCAAACTTATCGAGAAAGTCCATCCTTAACATTTAGTATGGAAACTATAGATAAAATTATAATAATTTTAATTTTAATTTTAATTTTTGAATAATGTTTTATCTTGTCTAAATAAACTTTCAATATAATTAAAAGTTGTTAGGCCATTATTATAACATGTTAATTTCGGTTTAGTGTCCCATCAAGAGTGTGGGCCGCCCATTAAATGGTTAGGAAGTGAATGTTAGTGGGCATCATGTGATGTAGGGCCCACTTGGGACCTCGTATAAATTAATATTTGTTTTTTATCAATTAAATTTTGGAAATTCTAATTAATGCGTCATTAACTTATAATTAAATCTTTCGTTGTCACGTCAAACTATGACATTAGCCACCCTAGCTGTTATAAATAACCTTAGTCTTTTCATTTTTTAATTTAATTATAAAAATTTTACTTTTACAACAATCTATAACTACGTTTTGCTTGCATCTATCTATCTATATATATATATATATATCGTAATTTATTGGTATGAAATTTAATTTTATTACCACAAACTTGTTACTACGATATTGCATTAAATTTATTATTTTATTAAATTAAATATTATATGTTTACTATTATCAACATATAGTATTTCATAAGTATAATTCATATAATTGTATAAAGCTTAAGTCATATCTAATGACCAATATACATAAAAAAATATACATTAATTTTTTAATGTCAAATCGTGATTCTTTATGTGTAAGTCATCAATAGTGAAACTAAATCGATAAAGTAATTTTATAAATATATTATTATATAAACTATTAGTTAACATTAGTAAAAATATAGTAGAAGAAGTTCCATATCATTTTATTATAATAAATTTGATTATGTAACATACGTTACAAGTTTATTATGGTTTTATTTAAACTAATGTTTAAAAAAAATACTAATATTTAATTTATTTTGACTCTTAAGAGTCAACTTATAAAAAATTAAACTATTAACATATAACGTATTTAACCATAAAAAAATTAATGTGCTGATTATTTGGTGATTAAGACATTTCATTGTGTTACTATAAACTATCACTTACAGAACATTTCCATTGACTTTCCGAGCATTATTAGAAATGATATTATCGGAATCTCTTGATTTAATATGTATAATATCTAAACGCGTATTCTATTCTAACTTGTTGTATTTTTTATTTTTATTAGAGTTTTAACTTATACTTGTTTGCTTTAAATTCTAGATTCGTATATAATATATGCATGCTTAAGCTCTGATGAGATTAAAGTACGAAACTAAAGTTAAAATAATCAAACTAATAATTTAATTAAATGTTACGTGAGAAAAATATTAAATCATACTACGACATCCTTATTTCATGCACGCATTTTTTATTTTCATATTTTGGATACATTAATTTTTTAATTTGTTTTTTATAAAATTATCAACAAGAAATATAGAATTATTAACAAAATAAATTGTTTTCAAAATTTCGAAAAAGTAAAAAATTTCACTAGAGTAGAAGAAATTTGTAAAGACAAAATGTAATTTGTACTTAAAACCTGAATTTATTAATACACTTAGAAACAGCCCACCCTCCAAATGGGCCGGGCTATTTAAAATGGGCTCATAAAAAATAATTTAATTGTTATATCTCCTAAAAAATTAAATGAGAAAAAAAAAAAAAACACAAAGGTCACCAAATCCGAAGGTAACAAAACCCAGCACAACTCCCAAAGAGAGTTGACCGCAGCAGCGACGGCACCGGAGCAACCATGCCGGTTTTCAAGACTCCATTCAATGGCTACTCCGTGAAGTTCAGCCCTTTCTACGAGTCCCGTCTCGCCGTCGCCACCGCCCAGAACTTCGGATCCTTGAAATGGCCGTGTTCACGTCCTCGACCTGTCCCCTTCTTCCCCTCTATAGCCGAACTCGCCGCCTTTTGACACCGCGACGGCGTCTACGACATCGCCTGGTCGGAATCCCCACGATTCTATCCTAGTAGCCGCCGTCGCCGACGGCTCCGTCAAGATCTACGATACTGCTCTCCCCCCTCCCTCCAACCCTATCCGCTCCTTCCACGAGCACACCCGCGAGGTTCACTCTGCCGATTACAATCCAACTCGTCGCGACTCGTTTCTCACCGGTTCATGGGACGATACTGTCAAACTCTGGACTCTTGATCGACCCGCCAGCATTCGGACCTTCAAGGAGCATGTTTACTGCGTTTATCAAGCCATCTGGAACCCCAAACACGGCGACGTTTTTGCTTCCGCTTCTGGGGATTGCACGCTCCGGGTCTGGGACGTGAGGGAACCTGGCTCTACTATGATCATCCCCGCCCATGATTTTGAGATTCTCTCCTGCGACTGGAACAAGTACGACGACTGCATTCTCGCCACAGCTTCTGTCGACAAGACCATCAAGGTCTGGGACGTTAGGAACTTCAGGGTCCCCGTCACCGTGCTGAATGGTCACGGCTACGCGGTGAGGAAGGTGAAGTTCTCGCCACACAGGAGGAATTTGATGGTTTCTTGCTCCTATGATATGACTGTGTGTTTGTGGGACTTCATGGTGGAGGATGCATTAGTGGGTCGCTACGATCACCATACGGAGTTTGCGGTAGGGGTTGATATGAGCGTGCTAGTTGAAGGGCTCATGGCCAGCGCGGGATGGGATGAGCTTGTCTATATTTGGCAGCAGGGCATGGACCCCAGAGCCTCTTGAGTAAGAAATTAGTATTCTTATAGCTTCTGTTGTATTTCGCTCTTCATAATCATAATTTTTGTTGAAATGGCATGATTTAGAGCATAAAATTAATACATCTGATAATTGTTGGGGATTCGTGATGGATATGTTCTTGTTGTTGTTTGTTGTGACATTGGTTCAATTATCATCAGCAGCGGTGTGAACAATGTCCTGGTGATTCCCCTGTATATCAGTTCTAATAAAGCAAAATTCAGATGAATACTGAGTTGTATAATGTATGTGCATACAGTATTTTTGCAAATGTATATTGGAGGGTGTAATTGGATAATCCTCTTGTGATGGGTTTTGTTGTTGTTAAATTTATGGTCTGCTATCGGAGAAATAGACTAAGGCCCCCGTTACTAACTTATTTCATGGTAGAACAGACCACTAGTGTTTGTGGCTCAAACTGTTGTTGCCAGAAGCTTCATTCTTTATTGGATATATCCTTTTCTTTTCACACTAATTTGAAAATGCCGCAGCAGCCAATTGGAAAAAGTTGCAGGGGAAGGTTCATGGTATATTTTGGGCTCTTTAGTGATGCTGAATGGGCAAACATTAGATTTTTCTAAATACTTTAGGAACTGTAATTATATTGAATGTAAAATTATTATACTATTTAGAAGTCTATATTATTGAAGAGTATTATTATGATTTTAGTAACTTAGGATTTCTATTCTCATTCAAATATTCCTATTTGTATTAGGATTAATGTTCTTAACATTATTAGTACTAGTTCTTATTCTTATTATGATTAGTTTTCCTAAGTCTAATAGTTTACTATTTCTTATTTTAATTTTATTTAGAAAAGATTGTTTCAAGATTATTATAAAAAAGCTTGTAATTCTACTTATTGGAGCATTATTTATTCAATAATATTTTTGAGAATTTTTCAACACTCTAGTTGTGTTACGCGATTAAATACTTAAGTTTGACGCTTAAAAATTCTTAGATGTGATGTCTAAAAGACCTTAGATGTGATGTTTAGGGGTTTTATCCCCAAATATCTAATTGGATAAATCAATCCTATTTGTCATACATCATTTAACATACTTGATCGGTGACGTGAGAGTTTTTTCAAGTCAAGTTAAAATAGTGCAAATGGGGTGGAAAAGGAAGTTGCGCATATCCATAAATCTGGCTGATGTATGAAAATTAGGATTAATTTGTCTACTTAGGAATTTAGGATAAAAACTTATACATCACACCTAGGATTCCTTAGGCATCACACGTAATAGGTTTTACTTCATAACTGAAACTGTCCAAAAAGTAAATTTACAAAGATATTTACAATGTTCTAAATAACCTTTCCTGAATATAATTGGACTACTACTACTAATAAGATTAGGAAATAATATTAGTGATAAAAATAGAAAAGCGAAGTACCAAAACGATAAAATCATAAAGTTAGTAAAACTACAGTAGTAAACACTTAATAGCATAATAGTCATATATTTAAAAGAAATTTTAATTTTTAAGGTATTTAAGCAATCTAAAATTAATCCATTTTGTGTCATTTTTTGCATGATTAGAGAAAGCTCGACCACGAGTTTTGAAGTGGAATGATGTAAAACTTTGATCTTTGAGCTTCTTAATGAAAATTTCACCAGCTTTATGCTTGTTCAGTAGCAAACATAATAGAGAACATATAATTCTTTAGGAGTGTGGAATTTTATCGGGAGGATGAAATTAATATATTGACAAACTAGCTTAGTTTCCTTCTTGCATTGAATTTCATAGAACTCTCTTAAGATAGGAAAGAGTCTTGAATACCCTTTTAAAACCTGTACCCTTAGGAAGACATGACAGTTCTTCTATTTCTCTCAATCTCAATGAGCTCCTTCTCTTGATTCATTTCATTGACTCGAGATGCTTTTGGATGTTTATTTACTTATCTTTTCTGTAGTCATAGGCTCTAAAACTATATTACTTTTACGTGAGACATAAAATAGTAAGTATTGACAATCTCATCACAAGAAAAGATTATTATTTTTTTTTAATTTTTTTTTTAAAAAAGAGAGGAGTAGTGATTAGGGGGTGCATGATGAGGTGGAAACCTGAGGTAGTTTACTTTCAGGAAACTAAAATAAGTTTTATTTCGGCCAATATGTCTCATAGCATCTGCAAGATTAGGGAGATAGGATGGAGGGAAAGTACCTGCTGGCTTTTGGTTGGATTGTAGTCTATGGAATGACGGAGTGCTTAGTTGCCTCGAGGTTCTGGTTGGTGTTTCCTCTATTTCTTGCTTATTTGAAGATAGAAGGAATTTGTGGCAGTGGGTGTTCTCTGGGGTATATGGAAAAAGGTGAAGACAAGGAGAGGGGCGAACTGTGGGAAGACTTAGGGGAATGTAAAAGAAAATGAGATCTTCCTGGAGTTGTAGGGGCTGACTTTAACGTGGTCCCGCACAGACAGGAGAGATCAAGTGAACATCTCTCTAGGATTTATGTGGATGAGTTCCGGAAGACTTTCAACATATTAGATTTGTTGGACTTTTCTCATATTAGAGGTAAATTGGCTTGGGCTAACCAGAGGTCGAACCCAGGTTGTTCCAAGGTTGATAGATTCCTTGTATCAATGACCTCTCAGTTTTAATTATCGGGATATGCTAGAAACTTTTGCAGCATACTATTTTTTATTACTCCCCCATTTGTTTGGACTCTCATGGAATAAAAGGAGACTCTTGACTATTTAGATTTGAGGATAAATGGTTAAAGGTGATGGGATCTCAGGATAAAATTAGAAAATGATGGAATAGGATGACAATAGAAGGGAATGCAAGCTATAGGGTGGCAAGGAAACTATGGCCAGTTAAGGAAGAAATAAAAAAGTGGTATAAGGAGGAATGAGGGAGAATTAGTTCTTAACCAGTCCTTGCTACAGGATTTAGAGGACCTTGACAGAATGGAGGGGGAGAACTGTTTGTCTACTAAAGACTTAATTTGAGGAGAGTCTATTCGATTTGAATTAGCTAACAAAATTGAAATGAAGAGAAATATTGGAGACAAAAATCAAGGTCTAGATGGATTAAGGAGGGTGATAGAAATACAAAATTCGTCAACTGTATGGCTAATCATCAGATGAGAATTAACTATATGGAGGAGCTGGACATTGATGGTTGAATAGTAAAGGGGAATAAGGAATTGAGGGAAGGGGTCAAATCTTTCTTTTACAGGCTATACTCAGAGGACTTTCGTTAGAGGCCTAAGTTGGACGTTTGGATGCTATGTCTTTGGATGAGTAGAGTCGTAAATCTCTTAAGTAGAGGTTTTTGGAGGAGGAAATCTTATAAGGCCTTGTGTCAATGTAGGAAGCATAAGCTCCTTGGTCTGATGCTTTTAATATGGATTTTCTTTGGAAGTTTTGGCATGTGTTAAAGGGCAACACTGTTGATTGACAAATTTTATGTGTTGGAGTCCCTTTGTCAAATGTTTAAACTTTAGCCTTTTTGGTACTTATTCCAAAGGTTGAAAGGGCGAAAATTATCAAGGATTTCAAACCCCACAAGTCTCATGGGGTGTCTCTATAAACTCATTGCTGATGTGTTGGCTGAGAGAATCGCTAAGGTGATGAGAGGGTAGTGGGTGTCTCAGGAGTAGACCTCAAATGTGATCTCAAGTACAAATGAGATTGTGGATGAGTTAAAGTAAAAGAATACGGAGGGAATTCT